CTTATTAAATTAAAGTTTCATGTGTAACGAGATTATAAAGGCTTGTCACTTACATAGAAATAGTTTGAGCGCGCTATTCTGAATAGACTCATTATTTCTTTAATTATGATTAATCTTCTAATCACAGGACGTAGGACTCCATCGTACATTTAATCTTTTCTCTAATATTTTTTATTTCTTTTCTTCCCTCCTTTTTTTTTTTTTAAATCACGCCAGCCATGTAGGATACCATATTAGAGTTGCATTAATCACACATAAAGCCTGTCACTTACACTAAAATAGCTTAAACTACTTTGAATGGAGTCATGACTCCCTTTTATAATTGTGATTAGTCTTCTAATCACATGATGTGAGACCTCACCATATATTAAATAGCACCATGATAGGGAAGTGGGTCGAAGAGGTGAATTATGAAGTGAATATGGAAGTCACTTGTCATGAGTCGTGATGATGTGGGAGGACATCGCATTGGAAATAAAAGTGAAAGTAACCTGACAAAGAAATAAAGTTGGGTTGAAGTTAAACACATGCACAAGAAAAACAACAACAAAACGTACAACTCCATTTGGATAGAAGTACAATATATACTAAACTTAAGGGCTACGTGGGAAAACAAGAAGAAATCAGAGAAGTTTCCCCTCACAAAACATAAATACATATTGATGGTTGACGTTGTACGTTATGGCTTGTCGAGAGTGTTTGGTAAGTAGGAATTTCAGGGGAATTGGAAAGCAACCACCTCCACTCTGCTCCGTAATTAGCCTGCCTCATTTTAGTAGTTCAAGTGAAAGTTGCATAGTGGGAATTAACGTGAAGAACAACATAAAACAAGGCTATATGAATATGGTAACACATCTTCGATGACACCAGACCACATTTTTATTAGAATTATGAATAATATGAATCATGAGACACCCAACTCCCGAAGAAGTTTGGCGTCACACACAGCTTGAAATGGGAGTTTGAGATCAGTGGCAATCCATAATCCATCCTCCTCATATGTATACTCCGTACGTAGCAAAGAAAACCAATCGCACATAAAGAAGCCAAGAAACTGTACTTTTAAGGAAACTTCAATTTTGCTTATATATAGTTGTCCCCCACCGGAAAAAAAAAACAAGAAAACAAAAAAAATAGGGGACTGGCGTCCACCTGTTCCTCACCAAAAGAAGAAAGGACGTGGTGAGAAATTTTGTTAGTTTAGGTCAAATGAGAAATCCAGAGCTTGCGATGTGGTCCAGTTGAAAAGGTGCATAAAAAAAGACAAGCATCCAGCCGAAAAATAGAAAGAATGACAAGCAATATGGACGACAAGTACAAGTTGCTAAAATTGAAAAACAAGTTGAAAGACATGCATTTATGTATAAGTCGTTCGTCGTTAATTATGTGCAATTAGTAGGGGCGGTCAAAATTCTTTGGTTTACTTTGATCCATACATGTGTTGCAAAAATGATATGACCTATACATGAAGCTGGGTGGTTCATCGACATTGATGATAGCTACCGCTCCATAATGAAGTTCGAAAATGGAAAGTCCAAGGTGATGATGCTGCCAAACTCACTGAAGGGGCTCACACAGGCACAACACGCTGGTGTTTATTTATATATATATATATATGGACGCGCACACTCTACTCCTGATTAACTATGCATTAGAAAATACAAATAGATGATAAGTGAGGGTTTTATTGATGCGAAGAAGATAGCGAGGCGAGAGTTGGGGATAGGATTGAGGAGATAGCAGATGGGACAAGCAAGGACCTAAAGTCTAGATTAAAGAAGCGTGCAAGTCTCGCCAACTTAATTAGCATGATCGGAGGAACATCTTAACAGTAACAAACACAGAATATCTGCACACATAACGTACGGATATGCATATGTAACACCAACATAAATCAATATGAAACCAACAGGGACATTGGAAAAGTGACGCCCCCCGCAATCACGAGTCAATAACACTGATAAAAGTAAAACCCACTTGCGCACTCCCAAAGCTGTATGCATTCAACTTGTTAAAAGCTACAAGTCATATCCCAAAGCGTAAGACCCGACCTACGAGACACGCACTCCCCGGGCTTTGCTCCTGCATGTATCAATATGTGTTATTTATTACCCCTTAATTTTTTGCTATAATATTTATTATCATGGCTAACCCTACCCTACTTACCCCCAGCGCGTTGTTTGGCTTTGGGGGTGTTTGTGGGAGAAGTAGGCTGCAAGGAATCCGAAGAATTCGATTCTTTTCCTTTGCTGCGTTATTTATTAATTTGGATTCGTTGGGATCCATAATTCATGGAAAATGCTGAATGGTCATTGTTAAATCTTTGAATATTATTTTGGCATGTAACCGATAAAGCATTCGTCAATTATTCTGTAATAAATTCTAAATGCTCTGTTTTGTTTTTTTTTTGTAAGTAAAAAATGGATTCCACCCTTAAATTATTCGGTTGAATAACTAAAGGAGAAAAACAAAAGGAAAGGGAAAAGGAGAGTCACTACTCTGAGATGAAAGACAAAAGCAGAGACATGCAAAAGCTAGCAAAATTAGGACATTAATTATTTCATATTGAGATTCCAGAGAGGTACAGACGAAAGAGCAGTCAATGCAATGGGAGAGATTTGTACAGCTACAAATCTTTCTTGACATCTCTTCGGGTGGGAAAATTTATAAAAAGCTATCTAGTCTTAAATAAAGGAGGTTCATGATCTTGGTGGGGGTGCTGTTTGTGGCACATTAATGTTCTTCCCCGGACCCTTCGACTTCTCAGCAGGAACACTGACCTCAATCTTGTCAAAAATGTCTGATCCTGACCTTGTGCCGTCCTTTATTGGCAATTCGTGACCTTCCCCTTTCACTGTGTCGTCGCTTGTGCTTTGAATGTCTTTGCTTTTCCCCCACACCACAGAGTAAAGCCCGAACACGATGAGTATAGCTCCAATTATGCTGAAAAGCATCGACACATTTTTAATAAACGAAGCAAAATTATAGTGATATATTACCAGGAATATCAAATAATTGAACGTAAAGAATTATGTACCTTCCCACGTGGACTTGCTCGGCTAGCACAAAGGAACCCAAAGCTGCAGTAATAATCATGATCAATGGGCTAAAAGAAGTCAAAAACACTGGTCCACGTTCTTTGGTTACAACCCCTTGTACATAGTAAGCCATGCCAGAGCACACCACCCCCTAATTGTCGCAAAATTGTCATCAGTTCGTTAGTTAAAATCACAGAGGTGAAATTAATGCGGCGGCGAAGGTAAAAAAGAAGAGTTTGTGGTACGCACAGAGTAAACACAAGCGAGGAGCCTGGAATCCCAGCCAATGACCCAGACGCTCAAGTCCCTTTCCATAATAAATGTTGCGATGGAACCCTCAACAATTCCCGTCGCGCAAATCCAAGCCGTGAGCGAGAGCTCTGCCGGGTACATCTTCAAAGTGAATGACTACAGTCATAAAAGCAGAACACGTCAATCCAAATCACTTCAAAATGAAAAATAACTAAACAAGGATATGGTTTCTAATGATTTAAAGAAAAATGTTTGGCGGGTAGTTAATTACCTGCAAAATGAAGAAGCCAGCCCAGCCACAGCAACTTCCGATGAGGTAAACGGTGCCGAGCACCCAGTGCTGGTCAGAGGGTTCGGTGGAGGCAGTATCATGATGGCTTATGCCTCCTGCCTTTATGATCTGAAAGGCTTTGCCTTTGTACAAAGTCATTACCATGGCACCTGACACTGTTATTACGGTTCCTATTATCTTGGCCCAGCTGGGTAATTTTTTCAGGTTCACACTCTCTAACCTGGTTGACATCATTCATTCATCAGAATAAGAATAAAGCCAACCCAAAATACTATAAACAAGAGGAATCTGATTAGATATGCATGTCTACGTTTGTGCGGTTACATTACATCATCAAGCTTTAATATTTAATTATTTTCTTAAAAAAATGGATTTGTGAAGACATTTTGTCAGCTAGTGGTCCCACATGGCATGCAGTTTGTGGTGTGGCTTCCAAATTAATTGTTGGATTCTGGCTAAGAAGGAATGCAACTAGGCTTTTTCAACTGTGTAAGCGCATAAGCTGACAATTATGCAGCAATCATTATATTGAAGCTTTTACCTGAAAATGAGTGCCATCAGAAAAGTAATAGCTGGGAGGACATTAACAATGGCGGATGCGAAAGTTGTTGAGGTGGCCTTCATCCCCATGTTGTACAAGTTCTGATCCAGCACTGGCCTGTTCATTTTCATATTTACAAGTATGAGACTTTAAACTCTACATATGGCATCTATCTTCGCAAGAGATCAATTAAACCTCTCTAGAAGTTAATATGTAACTCATATCTTAATCTACAAATTCAGTCCCCAAAAAAAATATCTTAATCTACAAAAGTAAATTGCACAATTCCTACTACATGGCTAGCTAGTAGATGCCAAACTCCTTATTTCGTGATAAAAAAATTGAAATTAGCTATGATCATGCGCAATCCCTGGATAAGCATATGGCGCGTATCCAGGGGCCAACAGGATATATGAAGCACCATTCGGATAGCCTCAAGTCGCAATGATCATGTGCATGCATATTGAAAAATATTTTCCATTATTATTGTCATGATCATTCTAGTGCTTCAAAAGAGATGGATGTGAAGAAGACGGTTGGTACATGCTTGTGTGCATAAGTTGTACTTTGAAGATTATTGCAGGGCCCATGAAGAGAGCAAGTGAAAAGAAAGGAACAAAATGTAGATATGATAAAGTAGTGCAAATGGATTGAATTGATTAAAGGGTTTGAAAGGGAGGCTTACTCAAGGAAACCAAGCGCCACCATCCTGAGGAAGATTGGGAGAGTCATCTTGGGCCTTATTTTTCTGCGAGGAATATCAAAAGGTTACGCTCGTTACCGTGAGGCAGAAAACTAAAGCAGAAACAATAAACAAAAGCTGCTTTAACGTGTGCAAGTGTGGTCGTAGTAGTGGAGAAGAAGGGGAGAGAGATGAAGGAAGACCTTTCAAGGACAAGAGCAAAAGGAGCAATGATAAGGAGGGCGACGACATGACGGTAGACAGAGAGAACCCAGTGGCTCATTCCATGCTTGAAAGAAACCATGGTGATGACGTACATGCCTGAGTAGCCAAACTGAAGGGAGATGATAGCCAAGTATGGCTTCACCTTGCGCATCACCTCGCTCATCCCCATCTTCTGTGCTTAATTAGTTCTCTCTCTAATAAGTCACACCAAACCAAAACTCAAGCTCTCCCAGAGGAGGAGGTGTGGCTTATGACTTACGATGGAGTTTGCGGGTGACTAGCTCACAAGGCCAAATGCCCCTCTTATAGGCCTAAAAAGCAAAAATACAGAACCCCTGATTTACACTACACCTCCACGTTTGTCTAATTAAGCCACTAATTCTCTCACCTCATTTTTTGCGCCCCCCATATAGATTCTCTTATATCCGTTTACAAACCAAAAATAAATTCTGTATTATATTCCTAACACTTACTAGAATCCTATCGTACCGACGATAATTATTAATTGCATTTATGTGACAATATATAATTCAGGTTTGTTGTTGTTTTTTGTTTTTTAAAATGTATTGATGAAATTATGTGTGTCAATAATAATTATGTATGTATGTGGTGTGCTATACTGTGAATGAATTGTTTATGATGAGAAGTGTGGAAGTGTTTGATTCATTGACCACCAAATGGAAAATGGGTTTAGTGCTTTGGATGGTGACGCGAGCAGAGAAGGGAGATGTTGGCTCGTGGTGTTAAGTAAGAGAGTGGGTGCTTTGTGGACACCATTTCATAAAGAGGATAAGTGAATGCGAATGAATGATTACTCCTTAATTGAGCCCTTCTCTCTCTCTCTCTCTCTCTGATTTTTTCTTCTCATTTTCAGCCTTCAAGTGCCTTTATTTGTGAGTCACGCCACAGCTATATTACTTGTAAACCCAATCCTCATCAACTCCTTTGTATTATCACACTTGTTACTCATTTTTCATGCTGAGCAAGTTGATGCCCCAAATCCATCACCTATATGTAAATATAGTTAAAGAATTAAAGTCATATGTACCCACACAAAAAAAAGAGAGAAAAGAAGTTGATCCAAATTGACAGAAAATACTACATACGTAAGCTTTTGATTTTTTCATGTAAATCTCTCTCCCGAAATAGCTCAGATAAAATCTGAAGACAATCCTTACCATTGTAGTATAATATAATATATATACATATACACACACACTGCCTCCTATTTTTAATATAAGACTTTATTTGACTTTTATTTTGGTCCTAAATATAAAACTCTCAATTCACTTTATTTTTTATATTTATGCATTTTTTCAAGGTAATTCTTCTAATGGTAGTTTTAGCTAATATATTTGATTAGTAAGGATATTTTAGAAAAGATAATACCTATTTATTATAAATAACTAATTTAACATATTTCTTTAATCTTCTCAAATTAATCAACTAGCCACACTGTCACTTATAAAAATGTGAAAAAAAAAAAGAAGAATCGGACAGACTAATGAAGTCAACTAGTTTATGAAACAACAATATTAGTTATTTTCTGAGGGTGGTAACTCAAATTAAATTTAAAAGATAACCAATGGTAATCTTGTTGATGTGTTCTTCATATGAGGGTTTGAAATTTGCAGACAATAAGTTATGATAAAAAAAACTCTCATTTCAATTTGACAATGCTTGAATTTGAATTATTAGTTGAGATAATAGTAAAAATTAGAAAATTATAGCAAAAGAAATCAATAAATAAAAATATAAAGTATATAAATAATATGGATATGGATCGCGCACACCGTATGTTTGAGGTATCACGCGCATATATTTTATAATTGGTGCATCCTTCATTGAGGGAGATGTTATAAAAGCCATGATTATTTTTTGGCTAATGACCCTTGATTAATTAATTCTTGGCCAAAAAAAAAAAGACTAATTAAGTCAATACGAACACTATGATGTGAAGGCGACAAATTTAGTGCGAGTGACGCGAGCAGTAATTTCGGTTTCTGGAGATTCTCAGATACACACGTCACATTTGTGTATATCTAGTAAAACAAAATCAAAAAAATATAATAATATATTCGCTTGGCTAGCAAAAGTTTAAGATTACTGAAATATAATTAGTGGGATGTCGGTGTGAAATAGAACTTCTTATTTCCCCCCCCCCCCCAAACCGACGCATAATTAAATTCAGATGAACTAAAATTGTTTATCAGTTGATCTCTGGTGATCGCCTTTTTGTATCTCTAAAAGAAGCACTCTTGCAATTTGCAAACTATTGGAAATTATTGAATTTAATTTAGACCAAAAGTTTCGTTATGCATTTTTTATTGAAATAAAATGCGTGGCAATAAAGCACTGAAATTACATAGACATGAAAAAGGGGAATGCTTTTCCTTGGGTCCTTCTTTCCATAAGTTGATTAAAATTAATTAAGTTTTCTTGGTTTTCCAATTGCGTAGCTCATTAAAACATAAGCTCCTCATGGAGAAGGAGGTGAAGTTGCTATTGTTAGTTTAACAATTTATAAAAGCAGTGAAAAACAGGGATGCTAAAAACAGCACTTTCGTCTCCTATTCTCAATCATACATGCAATCAATTCAATTATTTCCTGAAAACAGTTATCCAAAAACTGAGACACGGAATTAAATTTGCACTTCTAGCTTTATGGGTGAGTCTTTTTTATGTTTTCACGTAAAATATCCGAAGTTGTGGAGATAGTGCAAATTATAAAATAGACCTAATTGTCTGTACATATGCCTGAATGGATGAGGACAAGAGATTTTAAAGAAGCATGACCCCTTTCCGATTTATGAGACCTAATGAAAGAGAACACCATTCAATACCCTTGAGTTTGTTTGCCATCAAGTTTCCAGAGTCATGACGGATAGATATTTTTCATACGCTATAACTTTAATGCAGGGCATATATATGGCGAGATTTTTAATTACTCCCCTTCAAGATATTAATAGGTCAAGATCTTGGATCCGTCGCTTTATCTTGTAAGCCATGTGATTGATTGTTGATAGAGCAAAAAGTTATTAATAAGAGAGGCATTTTAACAATTTATCTTAAGATTTAATTGTTGATAGAGCAAAATAGTATCATCTAATCCGTGTAATTGATTTCATTTATGGGATAATGCTTGCTATTATTAGTAATTAAAGGTGAGACGGACTATGGAAGAATTGAAGGGGGAAATATAATTGTTGAGTAATGAAGGAAGCGCACAAGCAGAGGCGAATTGAAATAATGATTATGGACAACGACTGTGCTTGCAATAATAGCAAAGCAATTTGGAGTCACAGATTGTGCATGTACATACATACAAATAATATTACACATGGATGAGGATGCGGATGAGATTAATGAGAATGGTGTATTTTTAATTTAATGAGGAATGAGAAAGGGAGCAAAGAAACGTGGGGGGAGACAAGTTCCCAGAATTAAAGTTTGGTGCTTTTCGTGTTTGGATTCCATCGAGCAGCAATCAGGTTGGTGGAATCCCACCCGTGTCTTCAACATATTGGACTTAACCCCTCATACCAACACTTGTATCTGAGAAACCAATTCTCTAATTCTCTCCGTATATTTGCAGAAAAGGAAATCAAACTTCTAAGAAATATAATCTGGAGGCTTACTTTTAGGGCTGCGAATTTTCCACAGGGAATGGAACATATTAAATCAGCGATTTGGATTGATGGGTCTGTACGTGAGCCCCTCTGGAATTTATCCCACCTTGATTCTTCATTTTATACATATTCTGCCACCCACCCGCACTGTTACGCAAGATGTGCCTCATGAATCATCCTGTCTCCAGTCCAATCACCGTTGACACACTTGCTAAGTAGCTTTCACAATTTGCTCGATCAATAATATTCCTAATTCCTTCGTCATTAAACAAACTGTTATTTTTCCTATGATTCTTCTGAATCCTTGTAATTTAGGGCCTTCATTATTCCTTTAATCACGTGAATCTATTATAGTTCAATCTAAGGGAATCTCGCATCTCCTTTTATCGACTCTATATCCGGCTTCCAAAACAATGATCCTAAAATATCTAGCTGTAGTTTCAACAGGGACACTGGAGAGGCATACATACATATATGTATATATAACTTCAGTGTTTTAAATGATTATTTAAATCCGCGTCACCTTCATTATTTTGTAATCAAGTTTTATCAATAATTGACACAAACGCCAACTCCACCCAAATTGCTATAATGTGGCTCCCTAGAAAGTGACAGTGACAGAATTAATCAAAGCAGTAAGTAAATTTGGACATATTGTCCGACCAGTTAATACATAGTAGCATATCCACACGACACACCCACAATCGAAATTATTTCATTTAGTGGCTACTTTTTTTCTGGATAGACGAATATAAATAAGCAACATTATCCTGACCATTCACAGTAATTAAAACCATCCTGAAGTTTGCTATTTTACCCGCACAATGCTCTAATGCTTGATATTAGTGATCTTGTTATTGTTTTAACACGTGATATAACTTTTTTTAAATAGAATGGCGCGATTTAACTTTAAATTATATGCTTAAAGCCTATACATCCAAAGTTCAGAGAAATTATTTATTTGTCTACCAAAATAGAAAGTTTTATAATTAAAATCCATTAATATAATGACATTTTTGTCGTGGGGGAAAAACATGATGACTTTAAAGTAAACAACTTTGCAAAACTTTAAGACCGCACGTTTGGATCAACTCGGCAACGTGCAAGTGCGTGTGTCGGCTGTGCTCTCCCATATTACCCAAAGCGACTTTAATTTGCCATATTTTTATTCATTTTATTAACATTTTTTAAAAGGCAAGCTACCAGTTAACGACAATTAACCACTTCCCCACATATCTAGTACTCTCTCCCTTTCATTATATATATATTCGTTTTCTCTGAGAAAAAATTTTGTTTTACATGCCCTTTCTCAATTCCAAATTAACGATATTATTTTTCCTGATTTATCTTAAAATAAACTAATATTTTTAAATGCATTGAGTTATTGTTGGCAATAAATGAGTGGCAAATTTGGTGAACTATATCATATTTATTACATTTCTTATGATGAAATAAAGGATGGTGTATATTAATAATCTGGATTGTTTGGTGAGAATGCCATATCTCTTATTAAATATAATATTTAACGTGGACGAGGAAATTTAGAAATGGTAATCATAGACCTTATGTACAGCTAGTCGCCATTAACAATAACCTGTCTCACATTGGTGATAAATACCATACTATCCTTGCTCAGTTCTTCTCCACTGT